GAATGGAGGTCGCAACTTCAAGTTTGAAATGGCCATGGCAAGCAGCGACTCTTCAGCATTATAATAATAGATTTTGTCTCAAAGATTATCCATTTCCGTGTCACTCTAATCCAATTGCCAATACTTTTAATTTCAAAAGACGTATTCTTTCTTCTTTTCCTTCCAAATTTAACCACCATGTCGGTACCGATTCTCCTTCCTCTAAGCCTTCTCCGATTCAAACGCATTTCTCAATCTCTGCTTCTGGTAAATTTTCTTCCAATTTCAATTTTTTCTTCTCATGGGTTTTTACCAATTTTGAGGCTTCATTTGTGGTTCAAGTTTGTTCTTCTAGTCTTAATGAATTTTGTCAAGGGTTTGATTCTTAGGCTTGATGGGTTTCTATGATTGTTTTGAATATTATCTGTAATCACAGGAAGAAATTGAGTCATAAATGTTAATAATCCATGACCTTTTGCTAGTTTTAAAAATCATATTTTTTATGTTCCGGTTGGAGCTCTTGTTGGTGTTAAGGGTTGTGTTGTCAGGCATTGGTTTTGAATTTTGTGAGTCAAAGTTTTAAGATTGTTGTGTGAAATGAGAAAGCTTCCTTCTTTGAATTACTTGCAGGGTGTGGATGCTCTTGGATTCAGGACAACACAATGGTTCATGATTCGGCTATAAGTAATGGGACGCTGAAGAAATGTTCGGCGTTACCAACAACAAATACAGTGGATGTCTCTTCAATATCAGACCTTTTCGAATTCATATGCTCGGGTCCTCTTGTAGACAAGATTGGTATTACTCCTGAGAAAGTTGGCCAGTCTATTGACAAATGGTTACTGTATGGCTCACAGCTTTGCAGACTGTTTCAGCTTAACGAGCTTAAGCTAACGATTCCTCAGAAAGCTAGGCTATATCATTACTACATACCTGTCTTTGTCTGGTGCGAAGATCAGATTGATCTGCATAGTTCAAAGTTTAAAGATGGAGATGATGTACCTCCATTAGTGGTACTAATTTGTTTTTAAAGATAATCTCAAATTAATGATGGAGATGGTGGGTCGCTCAGGAGATCTGATAACATGTGCTTGAAATATTGCAGATTGGATTTAGCGCGCCTCAGGGATGTGGCAAGACTACACTTGTGTTTGCACTTGATTATCTTTTCAAAACCACAAAAAGGTTTACTGGTCCACTGCAATTTACTTCACTTAAAAGGTTTGTTATTCTTATACTAACAAAGCAAATATCTCAGGAAGTCTGCTACTATATCCATAGACGATTTTTACTTGACTGCAAAAGGCCAGGTAACTTGTTAATGAAAAATTTACTTGTAGCCTCGGTTGTCTGGTTCTCGTCTCCATTTCTTATTTACGTTTATTTTTCAGGCTAAGTTGAGAGAAGATAATCCAGGAAATGCACTTTTAGAGGTAAACTCATTTTCAGATCCTCAACATTTTTCTTTTGTCCGTCTTTTCTTTAGTTTAAAAATATCGTCATGGTTTGTTTGTTTTCAGTATCGTGGAAATGCAGGAAGCCATGATCTTCCATTCTCTGTCGAAACACTAGAAGCCCTGACTAAACTGACCAAAGAAGGTTTGGTTTCATCGATAAAGTTTTATGCTTGGCTGTTATTTTCTTATTTACCTTGTGAGTTTTTTGGTCATTGACAGGCATGAAGATGAAGGTACCTCGGTACGATAAGGTGAGTCACAGCTTGAATTTATCTTCTCTGCTTTATCATTTTGTATCATAAAACACAGAACGAAAAAAAAACAGAGGAACCAGGTCTTAAGTTCTTGAGTTATTCCTATTTGGCTGCAGTCTGCCTATAGCGGGAGGGGTGACAGAGCCGATGCGTCAACATGGCCTGAAATTGAAGGACCTCTAAAGGTATTTTTTATTCTTTAAGTGTCTCGGTTCAAAGTTAAAATGAAATATGACCATTAATTCCGATTTTGTGATTTCTCCAGGTTATTCTCTTTGAGGGTTGGATGCTTGGTTTCAAGCCTCTTCCAGCTGAAGTTGTTAAAGCAGTGGATCCACAGGTTATCTCAGTTCTCTTTAAACTACTTGAGTTGTAATACATCTGATATAACATCTTATAATGAAAAACTCTCTTCGTCTTTATATAGCTGGAGATTGTGAACAAGAACCTTGAAGCGTATTACAACGCTTGGGACAAGTACATCAATGCTTGGGTCGTGATTAAGATCAAGGACCCAAGTTATGTATACCGGTGGCGTCTTCAGGTTTGTATATCTTCTGTTAACAAAATCAACGGTTTTCGCTACGTTTCTATACAAGCCCGAGTTTGTTTTTGGTTTTGGACAGGCGGAAATCGCCATGAGGCAGGCTGGCAAAGCCGGGATGTCAGATGAGGAGGTATTGATACGTTTTAAGTAACTGTATTAGATTGAGTACTCTTAATATATAGAGGATGATTGCTGCTTAGATTGTTGATTTTTATCTGTTTAATTAGGTGAATGACTTTGTGTCGCGGTATTTACCCGCGTATGAGGCCTACCTTCCGACCCTTTACTCAGAAGGGCCGAGCGGCTCGGACCCAGAGCGTGTCCTTGCGATAGATATCGATGAAGAAAGGAACCCGATACTCGCAAACTGATGAGATATTGTCTCCATCGCCTTGAAAACTATTTTTCTCTGTATGTAAAAGAGAGTAACACACTACATTACACTATGTTCTTCATTCTATATATGTTTTGACATAATATTGCACATATATATTTTTTCTTAAAAAAGAATGATCGGTTGTATTTGTTATAAAATTTAACGGAGCAAGAAAATCTTGTCTGTCTTGTCGATGTCTCATCATGTTCGGATCGTGGTGGTCGGCAAACTGATATTAAAAAGTGCTTGTGTGTTTTTTTTGTATAATAAAATTATACTCATTGAAACATACAAAATCGACGGCAAAAAGGTTTTATATATGTACTCCTTCCGTTCCCAAAAACAAAACATGTTTTGGAAGTTTT